TCCAACCCTGGCAGTGTTCAAGGCCAGGTTGGATGAAGCCTTGAGCAACCTGATCTGGTGGGAGATCTTCCTGCTCAGGGCAGGGAGTTGAGGCTGGATGATCTCTAGGTCCATCCCAATCCCTTAATATTCTATGATTCTATAAATCCATGTTTATAATCAAGTAGGACAAAGTGGGCACTGCCCAACTCCTGCTGCTGAGTTTGGGGACATTTCAGACTCTTGTTGTATCACAAACATCTGTCACAGCAGTTCAGACTCAATCTCACCTTCCTAAACTGACAGAGCAGCAAACATCTACCTATGGCCTCAGGCCTAACAATGTCATAAATGTGAGATAAATCTAACATCAGATACAGAAAATGTCTCTATTGCCTCTATATTTCTTACATAAGTTTCACCAAAGTGCCTCAGCATTAACCCAGTAGTTCCAAGTGCCACAGAAACAAGGTAGAAAAACACACAGATGTGTCACTACTTCAGGACGAGGTTCTTCAAACCCTTGTTTGATACATTTTGCCTCCATTACCACAGTTTTTTGGGGTGTTTAATGTAGCTTTTCCACCCACATGGAAAACTAAAGAACATGTAAGAAAGCAGCTTTGAATGCAGCTGGAGCTCCTGTCTCTTCTTTGCCCATCCTGGAAGACAGTCACACCTGCCTGCACACACCACCACGGACCTGTACTCAACTTCTCTCCCCTGGAACACAGCCCCCCCTGCCTGCACACACCACCACGGACCTGTACTCAACTTCTCTCCACAGTGAACCCATCCAAAAGCAGCAGCAGCACAAACACAGCTGACAAACACAGATTGTCTCATACCACCTTCAGAAAAACACAAATATCTTCCACCAGCCACACATCCCCCTGTGAGTCACCTAAAAAGAGATCAGTGTGTGTATTTAACTAGTTTTGGTTTGCTTTAGCATGACCTTCCTGTTTGACACAGCAACTTACTGCCTCTCCCATACCCCCCTGAGCACCTGCACCCACTCCCAAACAAAGGCTACCCACACTGCTTCCAAGTTCTCTTCACAAACCTTTTTCCTGCCTGAAGTCATGCAAAGCAGCAAATGAGCATTGCTGAACTCAACTTCCACCACCTGCAGCTCACCTGTGTTCTGTTTCTCTGAGCAGTCCTTCCTGAAATGCTCCACAGAGCCACAGAGCCTGCAGCCACCACCTGTTAACACAGAGAGTTGTTACTCATCTGAGGGAAAACATCAAAAAAAAACACCCCGAAAACAACACCCAGCGGCACACCCTTCCCCTGTGTCTCTGAGGGATGGAGCTGGTGGTGACCACACTGCTCCAACAGCACCACAGACATAAACTCTCTGCTCACTGGGCATCTGTGAGTTGCTGGAAGCCCCTTTTTTTGGGCAAACAAGCCAAAATTCATACTCAAAGGAGTGTTTGAAGTTGACAGCACCTCAAGAGGTTCCTGAGAGGCACAAAACCCAACTGCAGGTATTGGGATAGGGAATTTAGATTCTACTCCTATTCCAAACATTGAAAACAAAGTGAATTTTCTTCCACTCTAACTGTGGTGTGAGATGACCCTTTGGAGTTTGACGGAGCCCACATGTGTCCTGGGGAACACTGGGAGACAGAACTACTGCTTGTTGGTGCCCATGGAGACATCAGTCAGAGAAGGATCTGAAGGAAACCTTCAAACTTGGGTCCCATTTCTCACCAAAGCCACTCAAGCTGAACTCAAACTCCTTCCAGTGATTTTGCCACCTCTGAAAATCTCAGCAGTGTGATTTTACCACACACTTTGGTGACGCACATGTAGATCCACACTGGTTTTGTTTCTCTGTGCACCTCTGGATACTGAAGCACAAGCAAACCCTCACACTTTGCACCTCAACTCATTTAACACCAAGATCATGATTAAAACAGAAATCCTCAAGTAACTAATTAATTAACAATGAATTCCTCAGAGTTAATGTGCTTATAAAGAAGTTACACAGAATTCCTTTCAGACAAGTCCTCATTCACCTGTCTTACATCAGGTCAGAACAACACAGGAGTAGTTTATTAAAACCACTAGATTAACTGAATCATTATAATAATAGCAAAAACAACAAGACAACAATTACATAAATAACAATAATAATAATAACAAATAATAGATTAAAATACTTGGATTAACCAAATTTATTAACCCAGGATTTACCTTCAGCATATAATCCCTTCGGATTATCAGGACAGGACCTTGACAGATGTCCCATCTCGCCACAGATGAAACACTTTGCATATGGAAATGGCCCTGTAAAATCAGGATCCACATCAAAAACCTCTGTGGAGTCACAGACTGAACACAAGGACATTTTACTCACTGTTATTACACAAACTTCACTGTTTAGTTCCTGTTATCATTTCACACCCCAAAGCAGTTAAATTTCTCCTGTTTCAGCACAAACCAGGCCAAAGCACCTCAAGGCAGCACAAACCCCTGAGACTCACCAGCAGATGGATCCACCTTGGCTCTGCACTTGCTGATGTCATGCTCTGTGGATCCACAGCGGTAGCAGATCCCTGTTCCCATGTCATGGCTCTCCAGGACTGTGGGACAATCAGCTACACCATGTCCAGGTTCTCTGCAGTGGAAACACACCTTCAAAGAGAAAATTTCAGTGGTTCTGTTCATGGCACTCAGTGACCTGAAGTCCTACCCTGAAAGGCAAATATACCAAGGGTTTTGCTCCTCAGGAAAAAACCGCCAGAAAAAGAGACTCCGTGCTCTGACACAAAACAGCTGTCAGTGCTCTGTGCCACTAAACCACATTATTATGGGCAGCTTTCTCCTTTTGTCAGCAACACACTCCACTAAACCACATTATTATGGGCAGCTCTCTCCTTTTGTGAGCAACACACTGTTTGGAGTATTCACTCACTGACAACTCTGTGCCCTGGATCATGGAATGGTTTGGGTTGGGAAGACCTTAAAGACCATCCAAATCCACTCCCTGCCATGGGCAGGGACACCTCCCACCAGCCCAGGTTGCTCCAAGCCCCATCCAACCTGGCCTGGAACACTCCCAGGGATGGAGCAGCTGCAGCTTCTCTGGTCAACCAGGGATGGAGCAGCCGCAGCTTCTCTGGTCAACTTGTACCCAGTGTCTCACCACACTCACAGCTAGGAATTCCTTCCCTATATCCAATCTAACCCTACTCTCTCTCAGTGTGAAGTCATTCCCCCTTGCCCTGCCACTCTAGGGCTTTGTCAACAGTCTCTCTTCATCTTTCTTGTAGGCTCCTTCAGGGGCTGAAAAGAAGGATGGATAAGGCGTAACAGGAAGGATGGACACAGCACAACATTCGACTTACACTACAGCACAGCTCCGCAAGCTCTTCAGTCAGGTCCTGCTGCAGCAACTGCTTAGGCCATCCTGTACCAGTGCTGTAACTGATGCATGAAGAACTCACACATCTCAGGTTAATTAGCAGAGATTTCCATGACTTTGTTCCCAGAGCAAAGCCAGCATAAGCTCTTGGTGAACATGTACATTTGTGGTGGCAGAACTGCTCCAAGAGATTCTCACTGGACTCTGCTGAAGGTGTCACTCCAGTTCTGCAGAACAAGCCCCAGAACTGCAGGATCTTACAAGTAATTGATTGGTAATAACCAACATGGCTTTACCAGGGGCAAGTCATGCCTGATGAATTTGGTGGCCTTCTATTATGGGGCCACAGAATTTGTAGACGGGGCAGAGCAACTGATATCATGTATCTGGACTTATGCAAGGCATTTGACACTGTCCCACATGACACTGTTGTCTCTAAACTGTAAAGACATGGAGTTGATGGGTGGAGCACT